CATCACTTGATGCCAGGTCCGGGTTATAAGGTGGGTGCATCAGGACCAAATAAGTGTGTGGCCTGACATTGTCCTGATGGAACACAATTCGGCCTCTGTTGATCAAAGATGGCCTCTTCTGGATGACTATCGCCTTCAAGCGGTCCAGTTGTAGGCAGTAAAGGGCCGAATTGAGCATTTGGCCATAGGGGAGCAACTCGTAGTAAATGATTTCTTGGCAATCCCATCTAACACACAGCAAAACCTTCCTGGCCGTCAGTCTTGGAAATTCGGCCCATCAAGCTTTTTTTTTGCGTTAGCTCATGTTGCACCCAAACATCGAGCATCTTTTTGACTCCAAGGTTATGTAAATAGTTTCCACCGATTTTTGGCTTATCTTTAGTTTCTCAGCAATTAAATAAGTGCTCATGTGACGGTCTGTTTCCACTATTGCCTTGATCTTATCGCAATTTTCGACGACAGGCCTCCCGACGCATGGTGCATCTTTGACATCGAAATTACCGGAACGGAACCTAGCAAGCCACATGATGCGCTACGTGACACTGGGACTATGGACAATAACGATAGATAAAAAATGAGATAAAAACGGAATGAACTTTTTACTATACCTAATATTTATACACTCCTAGCGGGCCGCATAAGTGGATCTCTATATTTTGTCCAATTTTTATTCTAATTGGTAGAATGATAAAAACCTATAATTAAACATAATTCCCATTTTGAGAAGAAGGACCGTTATCATAGTTCTGAGTTAGAGTAGGCTTTAGTTAATCGATTTCTTCGAAATCATGACATCCAGGTTAGACTATTCGGTAATAATTGCAGTCGAGTTAAGCTCATCTGTATTATCAAATTGACGATTATTGGTGTAAACTCTTCTCACACATGTTCTATATTGGATTTGAGTCCGGAGAGCAGGTTGTATTTTCTACGAAGCAATGAGTAAAAACAAAAGACTAATTTCATTACTTAAATGAACGAGAGCAGTACGCTGTTAGAAAATTAGTGACACCTCCATATGAGACCAAAGGAAATGAGGCTGTTTTCCAACACTTGAATGTAGTCTCTGATGTTAATTCGAGCGTAATCTTTGATGTAAAAGCCTCATCGCATCGAAAAACTAAGAGAGCTCTTTCGCAAATCCCTCTAAAAAACTGAAAACCATTCGGCCCATCAAGATTTCATTTAAAATAACCTTTACAACAAATGGAGCCAAACAGATGAACTTAAACATCAAGAGTAATAACTGGTGTACCAATTGGTGTAAATGTGTGCGTCTGCAAATCGTGGATGCACTTGCTCGTGACGTGTCAAAAAATGTGGTTACTTCATAAATTTTTATAAATACAAATGCTTGCAGCGACTCCAAGTTGTTTTGTCATAAGAAATAACCTGAACATTCAGCGAATAATATCCCTCTCTACCTGGTCTTTACAACGGAGTGGAGGTTTTCCTCTTCCTTTGTTTCCACCGGCGAGTACTGCACAGAAATCTTTCAAGTATTCTTATCCATGTGGGCCACATGACCTGGCCAGCGCAGCCGCTGTTTCTTGATTCGCTTAACTATGTCAATGTCGCCGTATATCTCATGCCGCTCATCATTCCATCGGCTGTGGTATTCGCCATTACCAACTCATAAGGGACCATAAATCGTTCGCAAAACTTTTCTTGCGAAGACTCCTAGAGCCGACTCATCAGATGTTTGATATCGTTCATTCTGACTTGTAGAGTTTGGACTTACTTTTTCAATTCCCTTCGCAGTCCAAAGTAGCACCTGTTGGGAAGAATGATTTTATTTTATTTGAAATACTTTTCTTCCGGGAGGTATGCTTGATATCGGTTTTATTTCTTATGTGGAGCATATGTATTTATGGCTAAAAGTAATTCTTTCTGGAAGTGAACCCGTCAGAAAATCATATTAATGATTAGATTTGATTGATATCTGGAGCATGGCTAGCTCCCTGCCTATATAGACTGCGTCACTAGATAATCTTTCGATTGGCCGTAGTTCAAGACAATTAGATGAATTTGCCTCTCTTGGAATGAACGTTACATAAGTTTCCCGGAACCACTTAAAAACCGCCTTTCTGTAATGGCATGATGCCAGATCAGGCCAAAAGAAGGGAGAAGCATGATGGTTGGCTAAAAATTGCTTTATTCTCTTTTGCAAACATTCTTTCACGTAAATGTCACTATTAATTGTACCAGTAGTGACGAAATTTTTTCTTCTTTTACCATATGCAGATAGCCTGGACGTTTCTTCTAACATGAACAACGGCCGAGCAGCTGAGAAAAGTCGCACAGTACATAAGTTTCGTCATCCATTATGCAACAACAAAATATGTTCATAATGTCTCTTGGCAAATGCTGAGCGCGTATATTTGGTTCTCAGTTCTTCCCAGCATTTCGTTTCGGTGCTTTCTGCACTTTCTATGTCTTTAGTCCCGCTTCGGCTTTCACTCTCCGCACCAATGACTCGGTACAAGGCGCTAACTGAGCGGGTTTCCGTTCCGAAATGTTAGGATTTCCAGTTAAAGGACCAGCCTTTCTTTGTTCACCGCAGTCTTTTTTTCTGCCCGTACCTTTGTTTACGATTTAAGATACTTCTTAAACTTTTTTACTACCCGGGAAACAGTGTTTCGTGTACCTTTTTTTAGCTTTTAGCGAAAAAGTCCCAACGATTTTCAGTTATTTTTCAAGTTTAGCTTTAATTGTATACTTATACATTCTAATACCTTCTTTAATCATAAAAATTTATTAAATTTTTAATATAATAAATTCTTAATAAATAAAAATCTACAATAAAAACCGAGAAACAAAGCAATAAAAGCAAACAGACGATTTGACTAATGGGAATTCAATTGAGCTTCAATACTACGTAAACAGCCATATATGTATGCATATGTGTGTCCATTTAGTTAAATTAATAAATAAATATATCAATTCTGGGCAATGGTGGTAGTCGCCGCCGTACGCCAGTTCAAATTCATTAGATCTCAATTTATTTAGTTTTCGCTCTTCCAATTGTTTTTGTATTACATTTCCCTTTTTGTTTATCACTTATTTTTTTCCGTTTTATTTTATTAATATTTATTTAACTGTCTTATCTTAAATTGATGTAGAGAGAGAGAGAGACGGTGAGAGAGAGAGAGAGAGAGAGACGTTGAGCGAGAACGAGACCGAGAGCGGGAGCGAAAAAAAGAAAAACAAACCAAAAATGCAAAATGAAAACAATAAATAAATAGTTAAAAATTAGATAATAAAAATTATAATAAAAAACTATATAGACGAAGTAAGGAAGACTAAGTTCGATTGGACTGGAATATTAGAAAGTTTGGCTTAAATTTTTACTTTTCGTATCCAGCCTTATTCAAATAGTTCCAAACGGTTTTTTGTGCAATTTTTAGCGCTTCGGCAATCGAAACATTGTTTACACGACGGTCGGACTCGACAATTTCCATGGTTTTCTCGACATCTTTCAGGCATTACTTTTCTCACTTTACTGGCGTAGACACCGCTTACGCGATTATAGCCGAGTTAACAACTGTTAACTGTTGCTGTTTGGCACCAATTGGAAATACCAAGCGCAGCCAGGTCCTTCTCTACCTGTTCTTTCCAACGGAGTGGAGGTTTTCCCCTTCCTCTGCTCCCAATGAGGGTACTGCATCGAAAACTTTCAAAGCTAGAGTATTCGCTTCCACCCGGACCACAAAACCTAGCCAGCGTAGCCGCTGCTTCTTGATTCGCTGAACTAAATCTATGCCGCCGTATAACTCGTACAGCTCATCATTCCATCGTCTGCGATATTCGCTGTAGCCAACGCGCAAAAAACCATAAATCTTACGCAAAACCTTTCTCTCGAAAACTCCTAACGTCAACTCATCAGATGTTATGTTGCTGTTGTTGGTTTTTCTACTCTAAAGCCAAAAATGGAAGGTGTGCAAGGGTATGTAGGTATATTTCTCACAAATTTTTGGTAGGAATATAGTATCATTGGTTGACTTTTGTTGGTGCCTTAAATTTTCGATCTTGAGTCAAAAGCCAAATGGAATGTAAAAATACTTTTCAAAATTATCGTTAAATATTACCTGGGCTTGAGGACAGGGACAGTTTATTCTGAGCCAAACTTCGAATAGCTAATGGATTTTTGTGAGAAGACTTTCGGTTTTCTGTCTTTTATAAATGTAGTAGTAGCAGATTTATTGCTTGTAGTCATTTTGATGGGTATGCACTTACAGTCGTAGAGCTACACCCAATTCCTACTCTTTCGTCCACGTCGTGTACCGTGGAATCGTAAGCAGCCCTTGTATTGTATATGATGTGGTATAACAGAGGAGGCCCTTCGGCTTAAGGGTTCTCTGAGGCCGCCATCGGCGGCGTCTGCCCGCCAGAGGTGCGGCTGCGAGCGGGCGTCGCCTCGAAGTAAGCGGCTTGCTATATAAACGTGTAAAAAATGTTAGCCCAGTCCTTGAGTGAGTGAGGTAATGCGCTATGTTTGGAAATTTATTAAAGACTTAAGGTCATGCACCTGAAATGTCCAATCCATTAATTGGGAAGCTGCCGCTGTGCAGCTGGGTGGGGTCCATTTACAATTAAGGGCTAGCAATACAGCCGACCAATAAAAGCGAAAAACGGAAAGGAGCAGGTTCCTATGATATGTACTTAGGCGGTTATAGAAATTAGAACAAATTTGGTGTAGGACCCAGTCGACAAGTCCTGGTATTCTCCCATTCGAGCAACGTCTCCCTACAAAAAAGCGATGTTCTTCAGTTTAGGACTCATTTGGGTTGAGGCTAATCGCCCTTGCGACTAGCTATTTGCTGTATTTATGTATTTCGAAATATCAACACCTGATCAATCATGTTAAGATAGTAGAACGGCATGTCTCCAATATTTCTAATATGTAGCTGGATAGCAATAGAAAGTTGTGAATTTTGAAAGATTTTCAATAATTTTATTATTCAATTTAATAAATCCACTTAAATTTAAAAATATTAATCTAAATAATTTAACACATACCTATACATACATATTGTATATACTTAATTAATTTAATTATTGCAATACACTTAAAATTTCTACACCAAAAACATAAACCAAAATGTAGTTTTGAAAAACAACTAAAAATTTATATAGAGCGAATTAGGTGAAGCTTTGCTTTGAACATTATTTAAATGTCTCTACAAGGAGCACCTCTCGAAAGGCAGACCACAGCAATTAGATAAAGAAGCTTTAGAGCTTTAAGAGCTTTAAAAAAGACCAACAAAATGTGAATGTTTACAGAGCTTTAATTAAGTTCGAAAACAATGAAAGTTAAAATCATTTACATCATGTTCATTGGTGCGTAAAATGTACTGCACTTCAGAAAGCTTGTAAGCTTTCAAATATTTAAATGACACAGTTTGTATAAAATTCTAAAAGCTCACCAATCTCTTGAAGAAGCTTTACTTTACAATTTAAGCTTTCTAAGCTCATCGAAATTGAAAACTAATGCTTTGCAAAATGTACGTTTTTGAATGTAACTTTAGAGCTTTTACAGGAGCTTTCATTTTCTTAAAATATTTTAAGGAATTCGTATATGAAAAAATTAGAAACTCACTAAGCTTTGCTGGAAGCTTTTATTTTCATTTAAAACTTTAAAAGATTTAAATCATTTATTTATGAGAATTCGTTTTCGCTAATCTTTGAAGTACTTTTCAGTCTATATCAGCGAGAAAACAAAACTTTCCTACCAATCATTTAACTGCAAACTGTTTTGACATCTTCAAAACTTAATCAATATTTCATTATCCCGATCAAGGTTCTCAAACTCATCACGCAGTTTCACCATTTCCGCATTATTTTTATCGCAGAGTTGCATTAACTGCGTATTCACGTTGATAATGCGTTCACGCAACGCCGGCAATGTACATTGGCTCAAACGTTGTGGCTGTACGTCTTCGCGTATCGCATTTATCATGTAACGCAGCTCCTGTACCTCGCGATAACAATTTTCACGGTACACCTTCAAGTCTTCGTTCAACTGCTGCTTAACGGTTTCAATTTCATTTATCAACTGTGATGGCTGCATGAAGACGCTGCTCTTATTCAAGCCACCAACAGTTGCTGATGGTAGATCCTCAAAGTTGGCGGCAATCAATTTGACTTGACTACATTCGAGATACTTCTGCTGTGACTTGAGATGTGTTAATTCACAGAGCAGAGTTGTGCAAGACTTCTTCTTGGCGAAACCTAATGGGTTGCTGCCCGTGGGTTGCGTTGCACTTTGTGTAGGCAGCGCAGCATTCGCACGTTCAGCAATAGCTTTGGGTTTAGACTTGTGATTTCTGCTATCGACTCTCATTATATGTACGCTAATGTTCCTCCCTCGCTGTTAGTTCACTACTTGGTTGTTGTATAATCCGCTGTTGATGCTGCGGCTTGTTTGGCGGATTCTTGTGCGTTTGACTGATTGTTTTTTTTTTGATATTCGAAAACTTGGCTCTTGGACTGTGTTCGGTGGCTATTGATCGCGTGCGCCAAACACCTGACTCAATTATGTAACACTTGCTTTTGCTTTTTCGTTGCCCGCAGGACTCGTATGTAGTCTCACTCGCTTAAGGCGCCCTCAAACGACATATACAAATGGGCTGAAGTACCAACTGACTGTTGCTATTATTATTTGTTATTTACACCATGTAATCAAATGTTATACAGTTGCCACCATCAACCGCAAACAATGCGCGTGCCTCCACTCACCTCTGCGCCTCTACTCACTGTTTCTCTTCTGCGCGCTCTTCTGACACTTACGCTATGTATCCAGGCAATAAGGCACTTGGGTTAGCAGTTGCTAGCCGCCTTGCCCTAGAAAAACAACTGCAATTCTTCCCTCTTATATCTTTCCCCTCGCTGCGTTGGCCGCAAACGTGTCAATTTACACGTTTCGTTGTGTGTTTCTGGTATGAGTGTGTGTGTAGGGGGAGGCGGATGGTTGGCGGCGGCTAGTTTAATCGATAGGCGGTTGTGCGCCTTTGGCAACACTGCTTTGTTTGTGCCACCTTTGTTTTCGTGATTATTTTACTTATTTGTTTTTCTTTTCCTTCTACTAGCTCTTGTTCTACTTTTCCTTTTTGTTTTGTTTTGTTTTTTTTTTCTGTCTTTTGCTCTAGTTTTTCCTTTGCGGCGTTGATTACTTGTTGTTCATTCACCTGTGTTGGTATTGAAGATGCGCTGCTCTAACGGTACGTTACCACGTTGAGTCGTGTCTGCTGCTTGTGCTGGCACACGATCTGTGCTTTTATTAGTTATTAATTTACAAATTTTTTTCCTGTCACTCCTTTTAACTTTGATTTGCTTTTTGTCAATATTTATACATACATACATACATATGTATGTATTAGCTCACTAGTTCGCTCTCTCGCTTTCGCAAAATAATGAAAAAAAAACTAACGTCAGCCGCTTTTGATTTGGCCTGGCATCATAGCCTGACCTGATTGCTTTTATAGATATTGCACAGCGTTAAAGTTTATAATTTTCTCTTTTACTTTGATTAAACAATTTATTGTTTTTGCATTTGTTGTGAAGCTTTTTTGTTTTTTTTTCCTTTTTTTTGTTATTCATTTCAGTTGAGATTTGTGTCAAAGGTGACTAAACTTGGCAAAATGTGAATGTGAATGTGAGGAGAGAGATTTGTGTCAAAGGTGACTAAACTTGGCAAATATTGCCAACAGTTACGGGTCACATTAATTGATTTGTTTAATCGTTATCGATAAATCATCGCATGTGGGATGATAGCCACGGTGTCGAAAATTAATTGTAGTGTTTTAAGATTTTTAGCGTCATTTTATATGCCTTTTCCATGGCATCGTGAAATGCATTGTTCGTCATCTCAATTACGAATGCGAATTACCCTCATTCACACGGCACGCATTTTGACACATTTCGGTTTCGCTTGTTTGTTCCATTTGAAACGCATGGAAAATGAAACGATTTAGTATAAGTTAACAAAATCTTGAATTGAAATGATAATGTAATGACAGTTTCTTTAATGATTTCTCATTTTTCTTTTATTCGTGCGGTTTTTTTTCGAAAATTAAGACTTTATTGTGAAAAAACTATTTCAATCGTCTGGAAATGTTGTTGTTGATGAACTCCCAATGTATCTGCTTCGAGCCATGTCTCCAATTCTTCGTCTTGAAATTTTTATGGTTGTCCGTCGTCTAAGTCGAAATTGCCACTTTTAAACCGTGCAAACCAGTAAATCGTATTTTCGGTGGCACTTTTCTTTATGTTAAAGTTATGAAGAAGAACTCCCCGCAAAAACATTTCTCCGGTACAAATTTCGACATTTTTGAATGAATGAAACAAATTGTTGTTCATGCTAAAACAAATGACATCTACCAAAAAAAAACAATACTGAAAACGACAGGAAATGACAGCACCTTTGAAATGAATATAGCCACAGATGAACACGACGCGAATTAATACTACTAGAGCCCTCTCTTAGAAAACTGGACGACTTAATGCATACACCCAATAATATAATTGTTTGTGTGTTAGTGTCTTCTTTTATGATTTTCACCTATTTTGTTTTGATATGTCAGCTGGTTTCGATAAAATTTCGATAAGATCTAAAGATTTGGTCGTAATTAGCATGGCAATTGAGAACGAATTACCCACTTTTACTGTAATTCGCTCACGAAAATTTTTATGGTGAATTCAACAATTCGGCATGTATTTGGAGCGCGAATTACGATTGAGAGAGCGAAACACGTAGTTGGGCTGTCGTGGGTATGCCGTATTACGTATTGTTACGAGCGACGAGAGTGTAGAATAATCGAGTTGTTCGATATCGAAGGTTCTCGTTTTATCGCTCTAGAATGTACTAGCTATCGGCTTATTTCTTTCATCTGACATTCGTCTCGCATTTTCGCCACAGTATGAAAAATAACTACATTTTATTATATATTTTTTTTTTAAATTTAAATTATTTTTATCATTTCTTAGGCAGTAAAATCCACTGACAAGGGTTTGGTCGTTAGATTTTCAAAAAAAAAAAATTGATTAAATAAAAAGCATTTGTATTTTAAAAAATAATAAACATAAAAATATTCATAGCCCCCCAGAGACGTCATCCTTCGGTGATAGCGTGGAAGGTGCGTCGGCGTGGACATTAAAACTTATAACAGGATCTTTTGAAATGAAAAAAAAAATCGCGTCTGCCTTGATACTACAAACTAGAACATAGACGAAAGAAATTTGTAAACAAAAAATGAGAATTGGATTTTTGGTAAATTTTTTACAAAAAGTGGTGTTTTTGGTAAAAAATTGTTCAACATTTTTTTTATTTTTTAAATAGTTATTATTGAAAAAAAGTTCAAATCCTTGTGAATTGTTAGTCGTAATGTTGCGCGAAATTTTTTCAAGATAAAGCCGACTCATCAGCAGTTGACATCGTTCACGCCTGCCCCTGCGGTTTAGGGGCTCAAGAATTTACCCGCGGTAAGGCATGCCTATCGTAAGAGGGGACTAAAATCCAATAGTTCCCGCAACAGTCGGGTCTTTATACCGGAACGACCCGGATTTTTATCCGGCCAAGGACTGTCACTCCCGCAATATTCCCCAAAAAGTACTTTGGGGAATAATTTTGCGGTTACAACAACAACAACATCGTTCACGCCTACTCACATATTCAAAGTAGCACCTGTTCGCAAGAGTAATTCGGCGTTGGATTTCAAGACTGACACTATTATTGGTGTTCCTGGTGCTGGTTCCTAGATAGACGAAATTATCTACGCCCTCGAAGATACGACTGTCAAAGGTGACGTGAGAAGCAATGGCGAATGCGATAACTGTTTGTTTAATGGCAGGAGATATTTCGTTTTGTCCTCGTTTACTACCAGACCCATTCGCTTCGCTTCCTTATCCAGTCTGGAGAAAGCAGAACTAACTGCGCAGTTGTTAAAGTCTATGATATCAATATCATCAGCATTCATCAGTAGTTGTACACTCTTGTAAAAGTTTGTACCTTCTCTATTCAGCTCTGCGATTCTTATTATTCTCTTCACCATCAAATCAAAGAAATCACACGACGAAGAGTCACGCTGTCTGAAACCTCGTTTGGTATCGAACGGCTCGGAGAGGTCCTTCCCAATTCTAACTGCGCTTCTGGTGTTGTCTAGCGTCAGCTTACACAGCCGTATAAGTAATAGCAGCGTAGATGCAGCTCCTTTTCTTGCTGTCGAAGACGACTTTAAGATCGACGAAGAGGTGGTGGGGGTTGATCCTCTTTTCACGGGTCTTTTCCAAGATTTGGCGCATGGTGAATATCTGGTCAATGGTTGACTTAGTAGGTCTGAAGCCACACTGATAGTGGGCTTTACAATACGCTCAATAGGAAGCTATGTGCGACATTGATAAGGGTTGTCGCACAGTAATTGGCGCAAATTATGCAAAATCCTCTCTAGATCTGCACTGAAATCTTATATACAACGATTCAATCCCTCAAGGCTTCAATGCATTGTTTCAGCACGCACCCCCACGTTTTTAAGCTCTCCAAGAAAACATTTCAGAAATCTTCATTAAAACTTACAAAGGGTTTCGGAAGATCTCGCGCACCTGAGCATGCATCCAAATAGCAAATTCTTATTTTACTTGAAAATAAAACAACTCATCACCTTCAAGCTTATCGTACAAAGTTTAAATCATTTGCTAAAAACCTTTAAGAATTCTTTTGCAACCTTCACGTCACATACCATATGTGTAAATACGGGTCTACGTATGAATGTATGTGTGTATGTGCACATGTATGTGAATATACAAATGAAATTGTATATTTGGTTATTTCCTCGACCATATACAATACCTATGTACATATGATTGTGCAACTACACATATCTTTGTATTTATGTATATTTGAGTGTGTAGTCCTCAAGCTTGATGATTTGTCAGTTCACTTTGTTACGCCGCTAATGTCGTGCCAATCCACGCCCTGACATCATTGCCGTTGCATTGGAAAATTATGCAAATATCCAAGCTCTGCAGTATGTGAAGGCTATAAAAGGTATCAGGCGAGAGCTTTTTGTTTATTTTTATTTTTATTTTTTATTTTTATTTTTTTGTTGCTTTTCACGGCTGGTTCTTAATAACCTTATATTTTTGAAGCGCCTACCACAAGAAGTTTTTGTCCTTACTTAAGTGTAACAACTTGACGGTATCCGTTTCGAAAGTGAATGTGAATGTGAATGTGAATGTGAGGAGAAAACGGATATGCCTTGACCGTTTAGTTACAATAATGGTCATTTCTCGGCTTACAAAGCGAAATGTGCGATATATTTATATACATAGGTTTATAAATATTGCTTAGGAAAGACAAGAATGTGCACTTACATATAAACATACATCTATGGATTTTGTAGTATTTATATCTGTATGTAGTTAAGTATGCATTTAGTTGTCACATTTGTCGCGATAAGCACATGTAATGCAGTTAGTTTATTGTTAGTTATTATATATATATATATATATATGTGTATACATGTAAGAATGCACAGTTAGGTCTACCGCATATGTATGTACATAAGTATTGTATAATAAGTGCATAAGTATTTCGAAGTTGTCACACCTGCCGGTGTTGTATTGTAATATATGGATTTACCTACCCGCATACACATACACACATATGTATGTACGGGTGTGTAATAAATCCACTGCAGTCAATTTAAGAACCCGTGCAATGCAGTGCTTAGTTCTAGAATCAGACATTTTGCAACTGGTCTGGCACCGTTCAATGTATCAACGCCACAGAAAATTATCGATAAACGAAGATGAGCCAAAGTCAGCTGTTCAGCCTCATCTTCACTCTTCAGAAAATAAATTGTGCTGCTTTGTGTGGCAAATATTGAGTGATGTGTTAATTTGTATAAATATACAGTCTTATCCATTTTGTGGTTTCGAATATAAACGTAAAAAATGTATTTAAATTAAATGTTTCTAGTATACAATACAATACAATTTTCAATCAGTTTGAGATAATAATTTTCGGCCACTTTTTCGTACATTTTATCCGGTAAGGAAGCCATAACTTGACGAATGTTGTTTTCAAGAAATGCAGATTTATTCGCATAAACATGGTCTTTCGCGTAGCCCCACAAGAAAAGTCCAACGGTGTCAAATGTCACGAACTAACGTAGCCAATTGACATCAACGGAAGAATCCCCTCGAGATAAAGGCATAATCGCTAGATTGTGTGTCATGTGGCACCATCTCGTTGAAACCATATATTGTCCAAGTCGTGGTCTTCAATTGGAGTCCAAAAAGAAGTCGGTTATCATACGATCATGCCGTTGTACTTTTCAAAGAAATAAGGCTTAATCACACCTCGGAAGCGCACCAAAACTTTTATTATTTACATATACACCACACCGAGTGAGAAATGTGCCTCGTCGTTGAAGAAAAATTAGTTCGAAACATCGCCATCCATGATTGTTGTCAAAGCAGCCAATCGATGTATGTATTGTACGTCACTGTGAGTGGTCAGCTGGCTTCAGTTATTGTGTGAGATGGACTATATATGGATGTAGGTGGTAGTCCAAGTGCAAACAAAATAGCGCATTA